ACCAATTTTCCTTCGCCATCCCGTTGACTTTATTTTGCTACCTCCACATCCTTGTTCATTTAAAATCTTCGATTCCTTTGTCGAGTATGTCCATGAGCTTCACACCGATATAAGACGACAAATTACTTTGAGTAATAAAATTTATGAATTTATTGCATATGCTCATATTAGGAATCAGAAGTTCATTATAGGAGATTATGTTTTTATTTGTGCATCACCACAACCTTATAACTCCTTTGAGACTTTGCAAGCCCCGTGAAATAATGGGAATATTATTATTCATTTAGCAACGTACAAGGAAAAAATATATAGGCGAATAACAGCCTACAAATCTGGAATATTGACTCCTAGAATACAATCCCTATAAATCAGGGATATTAGCTAGTAGAATATACATTCTATTACAGGACATATATACAACTATAATACACGTTTTCTCCCCCGTCTAGTGAGCTGTAAAATCTGCACAACCTATTCATACCATAATTACTGATTCTAACACTCAAGCTGGTGAGTGGATATTTTCCATTCCCAGCTTGCTAACAATAGACTGAAATGCAGAACCACTCAATCCTTTAGTTAACACATCTGCAAGTTGACCCTCGGTTGACAAAAATGGTGTACAAATCAGTCCGCTATCCAACTTTTCCTTTATAAAATGTCTACTTCCACATGCTTGGTGCGGTCATGTTGCACAGGGTTATGTGCAATAGTAATTGCTGATTTGTTATCACAATATAGCTTCATAGATCCTTTCCATGCCATATTTCAACCACAGAAGGTCACAAACTCCTAATGCCATAGCTCTAAACTCAGCTTATGCAATTGACCTCTGACGCAGGACAAGAAGTAACTTATAATAACTAGAAAGAAAGAAGGGGATGAGAATGAGAAGATAAGATGAGGCTAGACAAAGGAGGTGAGAAAATAGACGAAGGAGATGAGAAATCAAACCAAATGAGGTAGGATAGATAGACGAAGGGATTAAGAACAGCAAGAGGAAGAAGAGATACAGAGAGAGAGAGAGTTCGCAAACTCATGTAATAATTCAATAATTCTCAAAAAACTGAGTTTTCAAATTACAAAGGAGCCTTTAAATAGGCAAAGTATAAAACAAACCCTAAAACATCAAAATACCAAAATAACCCTAAAATTCAAACATGATAAAAATAACAATAAGCATAAATAAAAACCCTAAATTACTAAAATTCCCAATTTTATTTCTCTTTCCTTCTTCTCCAAAAGTAATGTTGAAGCATATGCCACTCATGTATTCGAATCATATCCCGTTCACTATCAATTCTCCTCAATTGAGAAGAACTCTTCTTCGAAGAGTAAAGTGACACTAAATAACTCAGATCAAAGTGGCAACCGAGTCAACAGCCTCGATCCTCTGCACATTCTGTTGCACAACCAGTCTCGCTGTCAACTCCTGACAACTCTGCCTTTACATCTTCTGCCACAATTACCTTGACTCAAACTGATTTGGACAAGTTCAAACAATTCTTCAACCAAATGGAGGCATCGTCTCAGCAAACCTCCACTTATGCCCACTCAGGTACTATTGCATCTGCACATAGCGTATCTACATCTTCGACACCATGGATCATTGATTCTGGTGCTTCAGACAATATGACTAGTATGTCCTCATTCTTCCAATCTTATAGTATCTGCTCTAGCATCGCAAGGTACGCCTTGCGGATGGCTCTCCATATTCCATTGCTGAGAAGAGTCACATATCAGTTGCTCCTTCATTAACTTTGTCAGATACACTTCATGTTCTACAGTTGACTACAAATCTTATTTTTGTTAGTAGCGTTACCAAACAATTAAATTGTAGTGTAATGTTCTTTCCCTCTCATTGTATTTTTCAGGATCTGGTATCGAAACGGACGATTGGCAATGGGCGTGAAGTGGACAGTCTATACCTATTGGATGCTCCTTTGTTACCTCAAACACATTCAGCTTCATTTTCTAATTTTGTTTCATCTAATAAAGCCTAGCTTATGCGTTGGCACATGCGTTTAGGACATATTTCTTTCGGTTATTTAAAACATTTATTTCCTTCCTTATTTTGTAACGTGACACTGTGAGATTTATCCTGTGAGACATGTCATATGGCTAAACATATTCGTTCTAATTATCCTGCTAGTAGTAATAAATCTGCTTTAAAACCCTTTGATCTTGTTCATTCAGATGTGTGGGGTCCTTGCCCAGTTACTTCTGGTCTTGGATTTCGATATTTCGTGTTGTTCATTGATGATCATAGTCGAGTTACATGGGTTTATCTTATGAAAACCAAAAATGAGGTGTACACCATTTTTAAAAAATTTATGACAATGGTTCAAACTCAATATGGTCGTACAATTAAAAAATTCAGATCTGACAAGGGTACAGAGTACACTTACGGGGAGGTACAACGATTATGTACAAAATTTGGGATTGAGCATCAGATGGCTAATGTTAAAACTCCTCAACAAAATGATCACTTTGCCACTACCATGCTCAAGTTTGGTTTCCATCAAGGTGCAACTAATCATACCTTGTTTTTACGTCATTCAAGCGGTAAGACAGTTGCTCTCATTATGTATGTCGATGATATTGTTCTTACCGGAGATAATACTACCGGAATTGTTGAGGTTAAGTGCTATCTTGGCTGTCAGTTTGAGATTAAGAATCTTGGTCCCCTACGGTACTTCTTGGGCTTTGAGGTGGCTCGCTCCAAGGCTAACATTTTCATCTCTCAACGCAAGTACGTTCTTGACTTGTTTTCTGCTTCTGGTCAGCTTGGCGCTCGTCCCGCTGATGCTCTAATTGAGCAGAATCATTGGTTGGCTGATTCTGAGGGGGAGTTGTTATCAGATATTGGTCAGTATTAACGACTTGTGGGGAAGCTCATCTATTTATCCATGACTCGACCTAACATTGCTTATGCCGTGAGTGTCGTGAGTCAATTCATGCCTCGTACCCCTCACCTTGATGCATCCATTTGGGTCCTTCGCTACTTAAAAAGGTGTTTGGGCCGTGGTATTTTGTTTGCCAATCATGGTCACGTGTTGAGGCTTGGACAGATGCTGATTATACAGGATCAGTTTCAAATAGGAGGTTAACTTCAGGTTATTTTTTTTTTTTTTTTTTTTTATAAGTAAAATGTATTAGAAGGCGTTCAAAAGGGGAACACGTCCCAAGCTATACAAAAAACTGAAACTATGATCTCAAGGAGCCCAAAAAGTCCACAACATCCTCAATGGAGGAAATAATTCTCCCCCAACCCCACTTTTGGTGGTAACTCGGTTACTTGGCGCAATAAGAAGCAGGATGTTGTCTCTCGATCTAGTGCAAAGGCAGAGTATAGGGCTATGGCTCTTGGGGTATGTGAGTTTCTATGGCTGAAAACCTTAATGACAGACTTGTGCCTTCCAATGTCGCTTCCATTCTCACTTTACTACGACAACAAGTCTGACATTAGCATAGCAGCAAATCCCGTTCAGCATGATAAAACTAAGCATATAGAGGTGGACCGTCACTTCATTTGAGAGAAGATCTAATGACAGACTTGTGCCTTCCAATGTCGCTTCCATTCTCACTTTACTACGACAACAAGTTTGACATTAGCATAGCAGCAAATCCCGTTCAGCATGATAAAACTAAGCATATAGAGGTAGACCGTCACTTCATTCGAGAGAAGATCATCTCTGGTCAAATTTGCACTCCATTTGTCACAAGCTCTCAGCAGCTTGCAGACATTCTTAGAAAGGGCGTCTGCAAGATTGTGTTTGAGAATGCATTGTCCAAGTTGGGCGTTTCAGCTATTCACGCACCAACTTGAGGGGGAGTGTTAGCATATAGATATCCACAATTTATGAAATGACTTACCATAATAGTAGAGATTTGATTATGCTATAGAATATGCCATAGAATATGCTTTAGAATATACTGCAATTTGATTTAGTTTCCTTTCTTGTAATATGAGCATGTGCTCTTTTTATCTATAAATACTAGAGTTGTGAATGAGTGATTCATTTCATTCAATCCTTTACACAATTCTCTCCTTTTTTATATATTTCTACTGTTCACCTAACATTTTGCAGGTGAGGGGCACGCCATGGGCAATACATAGACCTCTTTGGGATGTGAAGCACGTTTTTGAACCTTTGGTTTAATTTGATGTAATTTGATCAAATGTAGCACTTTTGAATTCTTGATGTAATAGGATATTTGATAGGTTTCAATAGTCCGGGGAGGGGAAAATGGCAAGAAAACTGTTCTAAGGTTAACTTGGGTTCTCTTGGGATTTCCACCCTTGGCCTCTCTTATTTGTAAGCTTATCCTACTTGTTTCCTTCTTGCTCATTTCAAGTGAAATGTATAATCCGGGACTATGGATGCTACACCTTGATGCTTGTTTATATGCTCCTTTTGATAGACTAGATTAAATGAGGATTGAGCAGTCATAAAGGAAGGGAAGCGAACAACCACTGCAGATTTAATTTACAGGATATGAGTTTTAGGACTTGGGAGAGAGTGGAGCAAAGCCCATAGATAGAGAGAGGTCAATCGGACGTTTGCCCCTTCTTAAATTTGTCTTGAATCAATCCTGATCTAATCTACCTAGACAAAACAAGCAAAGAGTAAAAGAGGAACCTTTATAGTTTTCAACCAGACCTTTCTTGCCCTCATAGATCCCTAAATCATTTTGACATATTCTACTTCCTTTTGAGTGCCTGGGTGACTTTTTTATAAACTAATTGGGGGAGGGGGGGAACTCATGCATTGGTAAGTGTTCAAAGAAAGCAGGGAATTTATAAACAACCTACTCAGCAAACAAAAAGAAATGAATATTAAAATAAAGAACTTATTATTATAATCCAGAATCCCAATGATAATGATGACAACAGCACTCATCAAAAATAATAATAGTGATAACAACATCTAGACCATTTACAATATGGAGCTTCTAAAACAACACACACACACACACAGAGAAAGAGAGAAGTTTACCTGAAGAAGCATGTGAAGTAAGTAAATGAAATCAGTCATGCTTCTAAAAACCACAAGTACTGTTGTCATGGTCCAATTAATTACTATGCACTTGTTATCCTGTTTCCAAAAAGAACACGTTAATTTGAAAACAAAACCCTAAAGTACAGAAACATTAAAAACGTCACAGAATAAAGTCAATGTCATGTCTCTAAACATAAGTATGCCTATCTAAACAAAAACCTATAACTAAAAGGTAGGACGGACAGGAATGCCTTTCATGTTACAAAAAGAGTGAAAGGCAATTAGATATAATCAGTTAATTAAATCAGGGAGAGAGAGAGAGAGAGAGAGAGAGAGAGAGAGAGAGGAGAAAATCCCAATATGATTTGAAAAGTGTACATACAAGCACATACATAAATATAGAGAGAGAGAGGGTTAGACTTGAGAGTGTGAGATAAATGGCGAAAGACAACAATAATTGAAAAAGGGGATGATCAGATTTTCTACCAGAATATTACAACTGATCAAGTGTTTTTAATTTCAGCTTTTATATCTTACTTCTAAATGTGCATTCCTTTCAGCCAACTCCTATGGGTACATAAAATCTGATGTCAACGACAAGGAAATAAGTACGAAAATTTGTGGAAAACATGGTAAGAAAGAAATTATATTCAAGAGAAAAAGTGTAATATATCTGCTTCTTAATTGTTCCATTACATCCAATAATCCATGCGACAGTTTCCACTTCCATAAGCTTGCTGGTTTGGTCCCCTCCACCTTTTCTCCTAAGAAGCCGTGGTACAAACCATGCCCTGGATCCCTTCTTTGCTATCAATGATGTTCGTTTTATTTAACGATAGGGAAGAATATAGTGAGAACTGTTAGCCCCAAGGTTTCAAGCCAATTGAAACAAGGTAATTTTGATGATTACACCCTATTAATGCGAGTATTTAACAGCATGCTTGTGTGAAATGAATTTCAGGAATTATATCTAATCTCAAGTATTTGAGTTGATCCATCAAGGTACATTCAATTTAAAGCACGTGGACTCGACCCTGCGGCTGAACCCAGCACATGAGATGGAACTATATACACTGAAGATTAAGTTCAAGACCATTGGGCATTTGTGTTGGTGAGTGTCAGAATCAATGTAAAGTATTGGTTATATCAAGTTGATTCTAAGCTCAACTATAGGAGATAATAAAGGGACCTAGGCTAAAAGACAAATTGTTTTCTTGGTCCTTAAGGATATATGACTTAGCTCTCAGACTATATTTCAAAATCTAAAAGCAAGGGCAAAGAAGTCATAAAGGGTCATTGGTTGGTTTCACTTTAAGAAACTAAACTGTTTTAATTCAAATTAAAGTGAGAAATGTAAACCAGGGAAAATAGAGTCAAAGCAGAATTTCTGATGATGGAAGAGATACACTCCCTTTGGTTTTCATTACTATTTATATTACAAGATTTGCCAAACAAGTGGCTACAATCAAGGAGGAGTAATTACAGAAAAGGTAAATCACCTAATCAAATCCCACAATTACAGTAACTATATTAAGGTAGGTCAATGTTAGCTAATACAATCCTAAATGTAAGGCATGATAATTGATGCGGATTCTGATCAAGCAACAATTTGGCTGTTAGAAATTCATGACGTGGACGAGATAAGGCTTTTGTCAACAAATCTGCAAGCTGGTTCTCAGGAAACATGAGGAAGCTGTATAGAGCCTGTGAGAACATAGTGCCGAATAAAATGGCAGTCTACTTCTATATGCTTGGTCCTTTCATGAAACACTGGATTATTAGCAATCTGTATAGCACTCGTGTTGTCAACATAGAGTGGAGTAGGACCACGAATTGGAATTACAGGTTCCCGAAGAAGTCTACGAAGCGATATCACCTCGCCACTAGCAGATGACAAATACTTGTATTCAGCCTCAGCTGAGGATCTAGAAACTGTTGGCTGCTTTTTGCACTTCCAAGAGATTAGAGATGACCCCAAAAAACATACACCAACCAGTTGTAGAATGTCGTGTATCTTGGCAGCTAGCCCAATCAGCATTAGCATAACTGTGAAGTTCTAAAGAAGAGGTGGAAGAGTAAAAGAGCCCTCAATCAAGAGTTCCCCGAATATAACGAAGAATACGATGAACAACAGCTAGATGGGGCTTATGAGGATTATTAACAAATTGACTAACAATTTGAACTGCATGAGATATATCTGGACGAGTCATAGTGAGATAGATCAAGCTTCCCACAAGACGACGGTATATAGTAGCATCAGGAAGAGGAGGTCCATCATCTTTGTGCAGCTTAGCATTCAACTCCAATGGTGCATCACATAGTTTTGAATCCGTCAGATGAGCCAAGGATAATAAGTCTTCGGTATATTCTTTTGCCAAATGCAAATACCATCTTTGGAACGAGAAATTTACAATCCTAGGAAGTACGTGAGAGGTCCCAAATCCTTCATTTTAAAGGATTGCATTAAGAAGGTCTTCAAAGAAGTAATTCCAGATTCATCATTTCCCGTAATGATCATATCATCAACATATAATAGTAACCATGTAGAACCTTGAGTTGTGCGATTAACAAACAAGGAGTTATCATTAACACTCTGGTGAAATCTAGCTTTGATGATGGCACTGCGAAATTTTTCAAACCATGCACAAGGAGCTTGCTTGAGACCGTAAAGAGATTTGTGTAAGTGGCAAACATGGTTGGGAGGACAGACATATCCTGGTGGTGGCTTCATAAAAACTGTCTCATGGAGATCTCCATGCAAAAATGCATTTTTAACATCCATTTTCCAAAGAGACTCGAATGGCACCAAGCCACCAACAACAAGCAACAAAAATATTTCTTCATAATCGATACCATACTCTTGTTATACCCTTGAGCAACAAGGCGAGCCTTGTATCGTTACAAACTACCATCAGGTTTCAACTTCAATGAGTAAATCCATTTACTTCCAATTACTTGAGCTCCAAAAGTTCGAGGAATTAAATCCCAAGTGTGATTTGATTCAAGAGCAATTCATTCTTCTGTCATGGCATCTTGCCAACATGGTAGATCTTTGGCCTGTGAATAAGATGAAGGAACAGAAATAGAATCTACATTGGAAAAGAGAGCAGAAAATCCAAAGCGGTCAGGCGGTTTAAAAACACGAGAAGAACGACGTTGAGTAATGTTACCTGGTGATGAAGGTGGCACGGATGAGTGATTGGGAGCAGGAGCAGATGTAGGAGGACATTGCAACCTTCGACTATAAACCTGCAATTCTTTAGTAGAGTTTAAAGGAGTAGAGTTAGAAAAATGAGGAAGGTAAGTAATATTTGATATATGAGACTCCTTTTGAAGAGAATAGAAGGGAATATGCTCAAGGAAGACCACATTGCAGGATATACGTGTTCGTTGAGCCTCTGGATCATAGCCAAGGAACACACACTTAGCTGCTTGCTGGGACAGTTTGTTTCTTTCCAAGGAAGGAAGATGAATGAAACAAAGGCATCCAAACGTACGTGAGTGTGTGTAAGGAGGGGAATGAAATAAAGATTCATATGGGGAAATATTCTTAAGCACAGGAGTGGACAGTCTATTAATCAAATAAACATCAGTGTGCACTGCCTCACACCAAAAACCCGAAGGGACTGCTGATTCAAATAGTACGGCCCTTGTTGTCTCTAGAATATGCCGATGTTTGCGTTCGGCAATCCCATTTTGCTGTGTGTGTGGGCAGGTTTTATGGGAAATGATCCCTTTATTAGAGAAAAAGGAAGATAACTCTTTAAGAATGTATTCCCCACCTGAGTCAAACCGGAGGGCCTTGATTTTTCTATTGAATTGAGTTTCCACAAGATTACTGAATTTTTTGAATGTGGACAAAACCTTAGATTTATGACGAAGAAAATAAATCCATGTAAACCGGGAGTGATCACCAATGAATGTGACATAGTATTTATAACCAAGCCTACTGAATTTGGGTGCAATTCCCCAAACGTCTGTATGGATAATGTCAAAAGGACCAGTAAGTCGGGAGGAATGAACCAGAAATGGTAAAACATGACTTTTACTTAAACAACAGGACATACATTTGGACTGTAAATCAGTAAACTTTTTGTTATTCAAAGAACAATTCAAATAACCGCACTTGAATAAAAAATAAAGTTTATCATTATTCAAATGACCAAGGCGACGATGCCAAATGGTCCACAAATTATTCTGAGAGCTAACAAAAGACGCAAGCAATGCTCCAAGTCCCATGTCCAACAGAAATGTTCTCCCACGTTTACTCCCTGTCCCGATCACCTTCCCCGTTTGCCGGTCCTGTATCACACAACCAGAAGATGTAAACTGAACCGTGTAACCATTATCAACCAATTGTCCCACAAATAATAAATTACCGGATAAATTAGGAACAAAGTAAACATTAGACAAGTTAAGAAGTTGGTTTTGGGGAGTAGAGAGGGAGATAGAACCAACACCAGAAATAGGCATATTCTGGCCATTTGCAATCTGAATTTTTGCAGTTCCAGTATAAGAATGAGATTTATCAAGGCTATGCTCTACATAAGTCATATGGTTAGACGCACCCGAGTCAATAACCCAAGAGGAGGGAGAATTAAATTTAGAAGAGGATGTTGAGTTGTACTGACCATTAATACAATAGGCGATTTCAAGATTGAAAAGAATCTGTATATTGCCGCACTTTGAATGGTTTACAATGCTTTAGTTAAATAGGAAATACAAGGGGCTAACAAAGGGAAACTACAAGCTGACTACAGGCTGTAACAGCAAGCTACATGCTGTAATTACAGGCTTTAAACTAATAGAAGCTACAGGCTGTACACTAACAGAAGCTACAGGCTGTAGACGAACAAAAATTCCTAATCTTAGTCATTGACTATCTATATTTACGCACCTATCATATCCCCTAAAATCTGGTCTTATTAAAACCGAATCTCTCTTTTTCAACACTCCCCCTCAAGCTGGCTTGTAGATGTCTTCCATAGCTAGCTTGCTTCTTAAAACTTCAAACTGTCTCTTGTGTAGTCCTTTGGTAAGGATGTCTGCAGCTTGTTCAGTAGTAGAGACATAAGGAATGCAAATCATACCACAGT